GCACGCATGCACACGTGCCTGGCATGAGTTTAAGGCACCGGGTCCAGGACTCGAACCGCGGTCGACTACGTGGGAGTCCAATGACCCAGCCACTATGCCAACTGCCGATCCGCAAAATAATTCTTTTAAAAAGTGTAAATTGAGCCAGAACAGGATAAGAACCATGGTTATCTCTTCTTGGGCCCTGGGGAGCCCTGGAGGGTAGTAGAGCTTGAGTAAGGATGGCATTTGGGACACAAGACATCCAGCCCGGGGCCTCGCCCCTCTCTGAGTAACGCCCCTTCTCCTCCACCCTGGTAGGCAAATACAGCTCAGAGATCAGGCCCGCCTTCTTCCTCACCGTCCCCTACATGCTGGTCCCATGCTGGGCTGGAGTGAGGATCTTCAGGCAGCCCCGGGCACCCACCTGCTGCACCCCCAGCCTGGTGAGTGCCGATCCCCAGGCTGGCCGTGTGTCAGCGTGCCTGGACGTCTCTTGTTCCATTCTGTCTCCTTGGGAGAAACTCCTTGGTATTGAAGATAAAAAGGAGGAGCCTTTATCGAGCGCCTGGTGAATACCAGACTTGGGCTGTCTCTGTCTCTCACGTCGTGTCTGTCTCTCTCATGGCACAGGTGGAGGAGGAACAAAGAAAGGGCCTCCTGAAGCGCCCGGCTGATTTGCTCCTTGTCATATACCTCATCCTTGCTGGGCTCTTCACCCTCTTCCGGGGCCTGGTGAGTCTGTGCTGGTTGGTTTCCCCCTTTCCCACCTGTAACTTCTCTGTTCTATCCCATCTTCCTTGCACCCACCCCCCCTTTAAAAAAAATTGTTTATTTAGTCTTTTATGTTAATTTGACCAGAGAGACAGACTCATACAGAGAGAGAGAGGAAGTGAGAAAGCAAGCCACCGGGTCCGGGACTCGAACTGTGGTCAGCTATGTGTCCAGGGACTCGAACCGGGTCCGGGACTCGAACTGTGTCCAGCGTCTTAACCACCAGGCCACCTGCAGGTTCGTCCCCCAAAAATTGTTTATTTAGTCTTTTATGTTAATTTGACCAGAGAGACAGACTCATACAGAGAGAGAGAGGAAGTGAGAAAGCAAGCCACCGGGTCCGGGACTCGAACTGTGGTCAGCTATGTGTCCAGGGACTCGAACCGGGTCCGGGACTCGAACTGTGTCCAGCGTCTTAACCACCAGGCCACCTGCAGGTTCGTCCCCCCCTTCTTTTTTTAAAGAATTATTTTATTTAACTTTTATTTATTCATTTGTTTATTTCAATCTTATCAGATAAGGAGAGAGAGAGAGAGAGAAAGAGAGAGAAAGCCACCAGGCCCAGGATTTGAAGGAATCCAGCTCCTTTAACCACCAAGCTACCTGCCGGCCCCTCCCCCCCTATTTTTTAAGAATTATTTTATTTGGGGCTAGCAGGTGGCATGGTGGTTAAGGCGTTAGACTCCTACATGCCTAGTGATGGTTCAAGTCCCAGACCTGGCGACTTGCTTTCTCACCCTCTCTCTCTCTCTCTCTCTCTCATCAAAATGAAAAATAATAAATAAATAAATAAATAAAATAATGTGTATTTAGTTTTACTTACTTATTTATTCTCTTAAGATGGTACTGTTTATTTAACTTTATTTAGTTATTTATTTATTTTGAGAGAGATTTTTGCTATAGGCTATGTGTGTGCATGGAGAGACAGAGAGACACAGAGAGACAGAAAGCAAAAAACCACCCCCCAGGGGGAATGGTCACGCCGCAATCCCCTCTCCTCCATTCTC